TAACCAAGACAGAATTTGGTACAGGAGTGGTCCCGTTGCTGTGACTATACCTGACCATGTGGTTCAAGAGCTTTGGAAACGGCTTGTGGGAAGTGTTTGGAAAGGTTCAGAGATGTCGCCTGAAAAACTAGAGCTGGAACACCTTAGGCTGTTCTGTATGGGAGATTCTGGTCAGAGCTTGGAAGACCAGAAGGCTGATAGAAATCCTGCCAGTAAAAACCAGGTGTGGGAGGTTTCTGCTGGAAAGAAGGACTACATTGGTTGTTGGAGTCCAGACGATGTATGTTATGGCTTGGCAAAAAGTTTCTCTGCATTTCTGAGACCTGGATACAAAGAGTAGCTGTGCCTCAAGGGGAAGATGACAAATTGTTCCCTTATCAAAGGGGTCAGGTTCCAAAGCCAGTAGACGTCAGAAACTGTAGATAGTGCTGAATGCTGTGTATTCTATGCTTTTCCCTATATACAAATCCCTATGATGAAGCCCAACTTATAAATTATGCATGGTAAGAGATTAGCACTAACAATTAATAATAGTATAGGACTATTATTAGAATGCGCTATAATAAAAGCTATGTGGTTTGTTTTCTATCTCTCTGTCTCTACCTGTCTCTCCATTTGTCTCTCTCTCTGTCTCTCTGTCTCTGTCTGTCTTTCCCTCCCTTGAAGCTGGGTTCACCTACTATAGATCCAGTAACTGTGACAGCTCTATGTGAGTAACAGGGCTGGGGGTAGTGTATACAGTGTGGATATACCAGAAAAAGGCATGATTCAAGTCCTGGGCAGGATGGAGTAGGACAGCTTGAGAGTTTGTCACACTACACAGAACAGCCCATCATTTAAACCTTGTAGACTGTTTATTTCTGGAATTTTCCACGCAATATATCAGATCATGGTTGACTACCAGTAACTGAGACCATGGACAGTGAAATTCCAGGTATGCAGGTCAAGTTTATGCAAATAAAACAGGGCTTGTTATAAACAGACAAGAAGGCCCAGCCTCCACCTAAAGGAGTAGGCAATAAATCAGTGCATGACAGAGCATGTAGGAAACATTACATACTATGGTAAGAAAGGACACAGTACAAAGGGCAGGTTGCTGGTACACTTCAGTGTTTGTCAGCATGGTTCAGGAAGAGTGTGACATCCACAAGGAGCCAACTATGCAACTAGCTATGGAAAAGGCGTTCCAGACCAAGGAAGCAGTCGGTGCAAAGGCCCGGGGAAGGAGTTCCTTGATGTATCAAAGGGCCAGCAGAGAAGCTGGTGTACTTTAGCAAACTGAGCAAAGGGGGGATGGTAGGGAGGATGTCATAGAATGGGGTGGGGAAAGAGAGGCAGGCAAGAAACAGTGCCAGACCTGGAAGTATCAAAAGGATGTTGGCTTTTCTGAGTCAAAAGAGGAACTACCTGTGGTGGTAGAACCTCAGAGTGTCTCATTCTGCTTCCTCTACACACTTGAGTCCTTCCCACTCAAAGGCCAGTGAAATGTCAGCAGGGGACTCATAAGGAATTCACAAATGTCACTTTTGAGTAGACACTCTAGGAGCCAGTGCACATTCAGCCAGGGTCTGTCTTCCACTGGTGCTGGGTTCTTGAGCCCCATTGCCTAGGCCCAGTGGGTACCTAGCATGACCAGGCAGGAATCCTTGGCTATTCCCAGCCACAGAGATTAGGGGGTTTTGTCAGGATGGCATACCCTAGTCTGCTTCTGAACCTAGGCCTCGTATGAGCTGTGGCTATGATTACACACAGAGATGATGGTGGCTCAGACAAGAACAATGGCGGAAGAGATGCTGAGAAGCCATCCGATCAAGCTGGAGGATTTGCTGAATGGCTGGACACTGGGTAGAGGCAGGTGCAGGTGGCTAGGGAACATACGTGGACTTGAGCTTAACCACCTGGAAAAATGGGCCTCCATCAGCCGAAGTGGGCGGGACTCAATAGGGCGGGACCAGAGGCACGTTGTGGACACTGCCATGGTGCCTGGTGATGTGAGGTCTGAAACAGATACTCAGCGGCCAGGGTAAGCATCCCATACCCATGTGTGGTGGTCAACGGAGGTATCTAGTGGGAGATATCAGCCTGCAGTGGGTGGCCTGCATGGATTTAATCCCTATCATGCCCTTCAGGTGCCTCCTCTCAGAGACCTGCATTGTTGTGGCAGGACAGGGCAAGGGGCTTCCCTATCCTTGGACTGCTTACCCCTTTGGCAGAGCTCCCACACTGCCTACCAGCTGCAGCCATGCTGATTGCTGGCTTCTCCCAGACCCTCCTCCAAACCCTGGGGTCTCCAGTGACCCCAAGCGATTTCAACCCTTTTCTAACAGATATGTCCTGAAATCTCCAGATCAGAGAAGCCCCTGCTCCTCATCTCCTGGATGTGCTTTCCCTCTGGAAGGAGAGGCAAAAATCATTCTCATTTCCTTTGGATTGTCTTAAAACAGCAGCAACACAGCAATTATCACAATATATTAAACTTCCACGTGTGCTTACTATCCCCTTAAATCATGGGAAATTCATATCCTTGTAGAAATAAATGATTCTTCTGTGAAATCAAGGATGATAAGAAAACGCCAAATTGAGGAACAGTGCAGGGGAATGAGACCAATAGCATTTCAAATCAAATAGAGAAGAACAGTGAAAACTTACAGTCTGGTCTCAGCCATGAGCACAGGCCCAGAGGCCCCGATGCCCTAGGAAAACGCACAACCCAGAAGAATCTGGGGTTTCATAAACTGCTACACATGGATGTTGGTGCCTTTTTTGGACAAATGTGCCATGGTCATGCACCATGTGAACAACGGGAGACTCCCTGTGCTACCAAACCTTGCTCCATAGCAAAAACCTTATTTTAAAATTTCCCAAAAAATAGTATCCATAGCAGCCCAGGTCCGCCAGTCCCAAGACAACATAGGTGGCTCTAATGCAGGAGACGATTTACACAACTTACCACGCGAAATGATAAAAGGTCACTTAAACATCTCAATAAATGTCAAGGACCCATTTGAAGAATTTCACTATCTGAAAATGTGTACGAGGGCTTCATTCTAAATATGACCAAGACCATGCTAGCAAACCACAAGCCAGGGTTGCCAAGAAGTAGAAAGTGCTTCACATTAAAAATCTGGATCAGGGGCTGGGGATTTAGCTCAGCGGCAAAGCACCTGCCTGGCAAGCGCAAGGTCGTGAGTTCGGTTCCCGGTACCGGAGAAAAACCAAACCAAAAAAATAAATAAATAAATAAATAAAAATAAAAATCTGGATCATTGGGGCTGGGGATTTAGCTCAGTGGCACAGCACGTGCCTGGCAAGTGTGAGGTTGTGAGTTCAATTCCTGGTACCGGAAAACAAAACAAAACAAAACGAAAATCTGGATCATTATAACACACTTCACTCACCCAGTTACCACTCCCGTATTAATCTAAAATTACAAATATTGGCAAAAACTATCTAATAATGTATATATCTAAGATACATACATACATACATACATAGGTGGGTGACACTGGGGTTTTGGTTTTGTTATAGTCCTGATTATAAACCTAGGAAAGCAACCAGAAGTACTAACTATTCCTGGAAGATGTAGTTCATGAGAAAAACATGTTAACCTGTGTGTTATACAAATACCATGCAAGAAGAAAATACATGTCATATAAAAGGAATATCAAGATGGGGGAGGGAGGAGGGGAAAGAGAAGAGAGGGACAAACAATAAACAAACAAAACTTTAATCCTGTTAGGAAGAAGCATAATAAAATGACAGTTGTCAACTATTCATAAAGTATGTAAATGATTTGTTGGCTGGGGATGTAGCTCAGTGGCACAGCACCTGCCTGGCAGATATAAGGTCCTGAGTTCGATTCCCGGCACCAAAAAAAAATCTAATAATAAGATTTGTTAGATTATGGGCAACTTGAAATTGGCCTTGGAGAGAATGTTTATATTACAGGAAGCAGCAAAGCACACATTCGGTTTTTCTTTCCAGGGAGCCCATTTTTCTGCTCACCATCAAATTGAGTAAAGACCAGGGTTTTTTAATTAATGATTTTAAGAATGTGATAAGCTGATTGTAAAATTCCAAAATTCTTCTTTAAGAAGTGAGAAGATAGTAGCACCAAGAAGAGTATGTGTGTGTGACTACAGATGCGTATCTTTAGCTGTATCCTCAGGAAGATGGTATTATTTGCTGACTTCGGTAGTTTTAGGACTGTGACAAAGTCACAGCCAGAAATCATAGGGCTTGGGATTTTGAAGTAAAAAGCTGCTGGCTAGAACCAGATTCAAACTACTTGTAGAAACCTAATAGACATTAAACCAATAAAACAACAGGCCTATCCACCCTAGTGTGGATAGGACAGGGCGCTGGGAGCCCCTCTGTGAAGCAGACATGACAAAGTCTCCACATCTCTGTGGCTCTGGACAACCCTGAGCACTGAGACCACCAGTGCTCGGAAAGAGCTAGGCAACTTCCAGCTACCAGAAGATCCCACGTTAATTCCAAGGTTAAGCAAAAATGTTCAAAACACTATTATCCTAATAGGATTTGCTAAACTCTGAAATTTTTTACTTGAAATCGTTCCCAGCTTTCTTGAGGTATAATTGATGATAAAAACTGTACCTATTTGTGGCATCCAATAGGACATTTTGATACATGCATACATTGCAAAACAATAAACCACAGGCTAAATAACACTCTCATCCCTCTACAAAATTATCTTTTTCTTTTTGAGCTGAGGACACATCAGATCTCCTATCTTAGCTATCTTCATGTGTATGATACAGTATTATGAGCTATAGTCATCACAGTGTACAGTGAATTTCCAGAACTTATTCGTCCTGTGGAAAAAAAAAGTATTATATACAAACATCCAAACAAAGTCTGAAAAGACCTACAAAAACTATTACCAATATAGTCTCAATGGTGAGATTACAAGTACTTTTTTCACTTAGTTTTGATTTTTTTTGTTTTTGTTTGTGGTTAGATAAACAGGCATTACTTACGCAGTGAGAAAACAAAGTTTTTATTTTTTTTCAGGTTTCTCTTACCAAGCTAGAAGGAAAGAACTGCATTTTTTCCCATCTGTGTAAAAGAAACAGACAGACTAAGGAAATGAGGACATCTCATTGGAGACAAAAGGGAGGGTTTGAATATGTAAAATAGCAATTTAAAAATCTTACATAATCATATGCTTGATAAAAACACAGAAAAAGTATAATAAACATAAATAAGTTAAGTCATCACACAGATGAAATATGTGTATCAAATGTACAAGGTCAATTTCCAGGTTCAAGTTCATAAGTGATCCGAGAAGAAGAATATATGGTTTATGTGCTGGAAAATTCAGATAACAAATTACCATATAAAAAAATAAAAAGCTTCACCAGCAATTAAAGAAATAAAGTGAAAAATGATATGAAAGTATCTTTAGATACCTACTAGCTAGAAAGAAATAAAATGGTAAGACCCTAAGTTGTAGGAAGGCTGTAGGGAAATTAGATTTCTGTATTGCCAGTGCTATCTGTGGTAATTCAGTTTTGTTGTGTGAAGGTATTCTGACAGCCTTTTTTGTTTTTATTGGGAAAAAAGAGGTTTTTTTTTTACATCACTTCAAAAAATATGCTGAAGCACTGTTTCCCAAATAGTATTTCTGGAATGCTGCCAAAGGATTTAAATAAATATTACATTAAAAGAGTAATCTGACCAAAAAAAAACTATAGTCTCTATAGTGCGGGACTTCTCAGTGACTTTTACACACAAATGGGCACTGTGAATCTCCAAATTGTGTAGTAGTCATCCAATTAATTTCACTTCCCTAAGAATCTTTTTTTATAACTTTATCAATAGTTCACTATGCACTAGGATGCTGACAATTGCACTGAGAATAAGAAGAGTATTTTGTATGAAGATATTATTGGTAAAACTGAAAACTTTGAAACAACCTGGATTTCTCCCCAGGAGAGGAAAGCTTATCCAATTCAACTGTAATTAGACGCAACCTTTGGATTATAAGTTCTCTCTCATTTGCTAGCTATTTAAACATGCTCTTTAGACTTCTTATTGAAGTTTTTGATCTAGGACTTGAACAGGACCAGAGCTCTGTGGCTTGTCACTAGAGACTCATTTCCTTGGATGTCATTGTTTAGTGACCCTTGTGGAAAAACCACTGGGTTGCATTATCATGTAGTCCAGAGATGTTATCAAAAATCACATGCACTGCAGAAGTCAAACCGGAAAGTATAGTTAGCACTAGATGCTTGTGTATCTTTGTTAACCTTTAGAAAGGGGAAGAAACTAAAGCCTGGTTCCCCATCCACGGTGTCAGCTCAACTAACTGACCTCTGATTAGATCTTGGTTAAAGTGAGGATCAGGTCTCATTCACCCTCTGCTCTGTGGGTCCATTGGTCTTCGTGTCCCAGGCAGCCACTCCTGTTTGAAAGCTTCCCGTCTTCTTGCACACAAGCACAGGGGAAGAGGCTTCAGACACACTGGTCACACTGGGTCAGGAGGAGCTGAACCGGAGAAGTATCAATGCAGAACCAGAACTTCAGAGACTGTGCAGAAGCCAGTATGTCACTGATGCTCACAGGAGCAATGTGGTGAATGGGAATTGCGGGGGATGGGGGATGCAGGGACAGAGGAAGGGACCACAGCTGTGACGCCAACCCCTCCCCCTTCCTTATCCCCATCCCCGTCCCAGTGCCCATGCCCCTGCACACAGTCTTCTCAGTCTTCTGATCTTGGCAAAGCAATGCACAAAAATGGCCACTAGCCATAAAGAACCTACATGTTCCCAAGTTCTAGGCAACACTGAAGTAATCCTGAACAGGACGAAGACGGCTAGGGCCAAACACCCTATCTGGAGTGGCTGCCATACTCCAAGCCCAAGACATGTCTTTTGTCCCTCCATCTCCTTCACTTCTTATTCCTGCAAAGCCCCTACAGTGTGCAGGATGCCAAGGCAGGACATTCATGCACCTCCCTCTTGCCTCAAAGCCTCTGGCATCTGGGGCCCAGGAAGAGCCAACCCAGAAGTCCAGCGAACCTAAGACCCAACAGCAGGGCATGTTTGCAGCTAGCTGGTAGACGGGACCGATGACTTTCCAGATTTCCCCGTGTGACCACAAAGGGCTCCTCTGAGCTGCCTTTGAAGCCCAGCAGCACAGCAGCCCAACAGCCAAGTGTTTGCAGCACCCACTTTGATGGCTGCTTACAAGGCTGTCCATGACGTCTGGTCGCAGGCGGAGGTTGGTGAGGTTATCACATTAACTGCTCCCGATCCCTTGCATCCAAATTATAGGCTAAAGCCACAAAATTGTCTCCCAATCAGAGGCCTCTTGCAGAACGCCTCACAGACACCAAGTCCCCTTAATCAGAGTGGAGGGGATGAGTCCACACACTCTGCAATGGGGGCTGCGCTGATTTTTCCAATTTTGCTAGGGACTTCAGCCGTCTCCCTGTAATTTTCCTGTGCATATTCTTTTGAGGAGGTTTTGGGTATTGCGAGTCAGAATTCCACAGCAACCAGGCCAACAGCAACAGAACAGCAGGATGCACAAAGCGGTAGAGAGCTGCCCATCAGGCCCCCATTGAGACATCTCCCTAGAGCCTGGCTTCCCTCAAACCCAGGCACTTGAGTTGGGGGGCTGTCTTCTCAGGAGGAATCAAAGGTAGTGATCGCCCTGTGTCTCCAAGATTTGCACATGGAGCCCCAAGCTCCCTGTGCCCCACCCTAGTTTTCAAACTGAGGCAGCCCCACCTTCGGAAGGGAAGCCTTCCTCTCCAGAGTCCCTAGGAAGGCCCAGGTGGCAGGGTGATACCCTCAAGGTCACTAGAGACAGCGACCCCAGTCCATCACAGGCTGCTTCGCAAAGAAGTCTTCAGTTGGCCCCGGGAGGCCACAGTGTCATGTACTCCAGAAGACCATGCACCAAGGGCAAGGCAAGGGGAGTGTAGGCCAGTGAGGCTGTGCAGGGGTGAAGATGAACTGCAAAGAAGCAGCGACCTGAGCAGCATGGACAGAGCAATCATCTTAAAACAAAGAGTAATAAACACTAAGCACCATTAGCACTGAAGAGCTTGAAACCAGCAGCCAAGATCAGCAGCAGAAACCAACATCTGGAAGGGTAAACCTACCGTGTCCAGCACAAGCCAGCACCAGAAGACTGCGGCAGACAGTAGCAGTGACCAGCAGCTGGCTGTGTTCCGTCATCTGGTGCCATCAGAGCTGCACTTTGTTGATTCACAATTTCCATCTGAATCAAGCAAAAGAAGCCTAAGCTGATTCACAAAATTGCCCTCCCATCTTCTGCCTGCCCTGAAGGAAGCCTCCCCACTGTACACACACGTGTGCACGCGTACATGCACGCACACACATACACCCACTATCACTCACACAGAGTGGCCTAAACAAGTATAACTCTTTTATCTGTCATGTGGAAGTCCAACCCGAAATGATGGTACCGTCTATAACATAAAGACCCCCATCACTCTGACATTCCTCATCTACGAAGTTCCAGATGGCTCACGGCTACCTTTATGCCACCTCAGGAAGAAAGGAAAGGAGAGGGCAGGCCCTGCCTTTGAGCCCTGCCTCCATGGCTCCCAGCTGCCTCCACTCACAACCCATTGGCCCAGACTTAGTTACATGACCATAACCAGCAAAAGAGAGGCTGGGAAATGTAGTATCTAGCTGAGCAGTCGGTGCCCAGTTAAAAATTCCATTTCTTTGGCAGAAGAGGGATTGCTACTGAGGACACTGATAATACCTCCCACCAATGCCCACCCACCAGGGCCGCTCCCCAGATGGTTCTGTCTATATGATGCTCCTGGTGGGAGATGGGTGGGGCTTCTGTACTTAGCTTTTTTTCCAGCTGCCCCATAGACAGCAGATTCCCACTGCATCAGAGACATGTATGTCCCAAAGATTATGTGAATTATTGCCAGTAACGTAGGCCAAGTTCATCTACAGTGAAAGATGGCTGTCTCTCCCACTCCTCATGCAGTGGACAGAGCGTGGTACCCTGTTGTTCTGCTCTGCCTTGACTGCAGCCTGCCTCTGAGGCAGAGTCCTTGTATCCCATTCTCCTCCATGGCCACCACCGGTGACATCAAGGCCTGGCTTTATATGTACTGCAGCATCCATCTGGTGCCCAGTTCAACTCTGTGTAGAACACCAGCCTCCCACTCATCCCTGCTCTGCTGGAAAGGAGGTCATTTGAGAATGTAGGGTAAGCCAGGAGTGGTGGCGCACACCTGTAATCTCAGCACTCAGGAGGCTGAGGCAGGAGAATTGTGCGAGTTCGAGGCCAGCCTGGGCTACAAAGTGAGCTCAAGGCCAGCCTGAACTGCATAGTGAATCCCTGTCTCAAAAAGACAAAAATAAAAAAGAGAATGTAGGATGCCCCTGACACTGGTAACTGGGGCCTGGCTGGTGCTCTTCCCCCCATGATGGGGACCCCCCATGTGGCTCCCACCTGATAAACCACAAGGGCCTTTGCTCAGGTCTTCCAAGGTCAGATAGGGAGTCAGGGAGCTTGGAAAAGACCCTGGTATCTTTTGGAGTCGTTTCTGGTTAGATTCCTTTTTCTGGTCATAAAAGTATTATTTATTCATAACAGAATACAGAATATGAAAAATATATACAGTAGACAAGAAGGGGAGATCACTCCTAACGCTCCAGTCTCGGCTTCTATTCTGTCATCTGCCCTTCCAGCCATCTGTGCATTTCTTCTGTTTTGCTACTGCTGCGTGTGCATGCTGTGTCTGGCTCTTTTCACTTCGTGCTCCTGTATCCTGTGGACATGCCCACGCTCATCATTTCCCTCTTCTTGTACCTGAGGTTCTGCTAGGGCACATTTTGTAAGTATAACACCCGGCAATGGACTCATACCATGCAGCCTGCTAGTGTGCTCCAAGCTGGTGCCACCATGCTATTTTTAGGTTGCGGGTAACCACACCTGTGATGCTTTTATATCTAGATGCCCCCCCAAGAGTCTGGTGTACTTATAGGAGAAGCTTTTAAAAGGTGATTGTACTAGGAGCTTATAGCCGGCTTGCTGTGAGGATGTAGGGTCTGGTCAGAAGAGGTGGGTTACTGGGAGGTGGCCCAGAAGGATTTATCTCCCTCCCCAGCTGCTCCCTTCACTCTTCGCTTCCATCCACCATGCTGTGAGCAGCTCTTCTCCGCCATGCCCCTCTGCTGCGGCATCCTGCCTTGCAGCCTTCCGACCATAGGCTAAAGGGTGACTGCAAGTTCCCGGTGTTGGGTACTGTGTCTCAGCCACAAGAAGGTAACTAAGACAACACTGTGCTGGAAGTGTCAGCAGAAAGGGAAACAGATGCAGAAACAGGAAGGAGCAGGGAGGCAGGACAGCACAAACCACGACCACAGTGAGCCCAGATCCTGCCTCAACAGGGGGCCGTGCCGTCCCCCCAGTGTGCATGCACACCAGACCCTCAGCACACCCACCATGGTGCTGCCAGCAGACCCCAGGACCCTCTAATGGACAGCATGGACCTCACTGTCCTGAACCTGGCCCTTGCCCCATCCTACGCGCAAAGGATTTTCTATCTTTCTCTAAGTCTCTCCACCACTAGCTCCCAATCTAAAATCTGATCAAAAAAGATGAAATAAATGATATGATTTATAATGACATCTGTGGGGGGAGAAATCTGGGGATTTAGCTCAGCGGCACAGCACCTGCCTGGCAAGCGCAAGGTCGATTCCTGGTACCAGAAAACCACCTCCCCCACAAAAAAATCAGATTATATCATGTACAGGTACAAATCCCCTACAGTGAATGGGATCATTATGGATACCTAAAATGTACCTATAATGACATCTGTATCAGTTACTTTCCTGTCTCTGGGACAAAATATCTGACATTGACAGCTTAAAGAAGAAGAGGTTTCTTTAGGCTCATGTTTCAGAGGATTTGGTCCATGGTCGGCTGGTTCCAAGGCAGAAATGGCACAGTAGGAAGGCATGGTGGAAGGGTACAGTGGAAGAAAGGTGCTCAAGCCATGACAGCCAGGAAGCACAGAGAGAAGGGAGGAGTCACAGAGGAGAATACACCCCTCCAGGTCAGGCCCCCAGTGACCAACTTCCCAAGAGACCCACCTCCTAACAGCACATTTTGATATTGAACTCATCAATGGATTAATCTACTCATGAGCACAGCAATCCATGACCCAATCACCTTCCAGAAGCCCCACCTCTGAATACATGAGATTTCCGCAGACATCACAGATCCAAACCATAACACCAAAATCAAATATATAGCAAGATATTTAATAAAAGACGCAGAAAACACATACACACAATTGCAATGAAATTAAACAAGACCAGTGTCTGGGGGCTCCCGTTACTACCATGAAATGCCTGTGATTACCGTATTCACTCACAAAAAAGAAAGGTTTATCATGGCTCACAGTTTGAAGGTTCCAGTCTAAAACCAGGCAGACTCTGCTCTGGGCCTCAGGTGGACTTGAAGGCTGATGGCGGCAGGGAGAGCATGACACAGCCAACTGCTGACCTCGTGGCCAAGAAACAAAAGAGAAAGAGGAAGAGATCTGAGTTCCAGCAACCCTCTGGAGAGGACACCCCAGGAACCTGAAACCTCGGCCCTGGCCCAGCTCCTGAAGGCAACACCACCTCCCAACAGCACCTCCCTGGGGGTGCACTTAGCACACAGGCCTTTGGAGGTCATTCAAGACCCAAACTACAGGGCCAGGGATATAGCTCAGTGACAAGGTGCCTGCCTGGCAAGCGCAAGGTCGTGAGTTTGATTCCTGGTACCAAAAAAGAGATCCAAAGGAAACAGGGCTATGTCAAGACCTCTATAGATGGGACCAGTGATTTGATGGTGTCAGTTCCCACCAAACTGATGAACAAACTCATCAAATCCTAGTGTCGTGTGTGTGTGTGTGTGTGTGTGTGTGTGTGTGTGTGTGTATACTGAAATGCATATACAAACCAAAGTGCCAAGAACACCCAAGGCCACTGTCAAGGACAAACAAGTCACAGGGCTTAGTCAATCTGCCATCAAGAGTTCACCTGCAGGAATCTCAGCACTTTGGAAAGCTGAGGCAAGAGAACCAAAGGTTTGAAGCCAGCCTGGGCATCTTAATGTCCTACTGAGACCCTGTCTTAAATTTTAAAAAGAGGCTAAGGATGTAGCTCAGCTGGGTCCAATCTCAGTACAGAAAAAAAAGCTTGTCTATGATCACTGTAACAGCACTGGACAAAAACTAAGAAACTGAAAGACAGAAGAGATCAGAGACCCAGAGATCAGAGACCTGAGACCCGCCCTGAACCACACCTGACTTCTACCTGAGTCACCACCACCCTGCTTGGAGAAAGGATAATTTTTTCTATAAAAGGTGCTGATTTAACAGGAAATCCATGCAGAAAAAAATGAATCTTAACCCAGTCCCTTGGAACAACTGGATTCCAGTCCATCGAGAATCTGAAAGGGAAAAGAAAGGCCTGGGGTGTGTCCCACCTCAGCCTCGTGTCCTGCCACGTGGGTGCACCTGCTTGGCCTGGTACAGGAGCAGCTAATTTCACAGCAATAATAATTTCTCATGCACAGTTGCTGTGGGTACAGACTGCACAAATATAAGAAGAGAAAAGAGGAGGGAAGAGAGGTCAGCAGCAGAAGGATAGCACCAAGAAGGAGGCATGACAGTGTTTAGAAATCCTCTTGAAAAGGGTCTAGGTCTCTCCTGAGTCTCACACTACAAGACCCCTTGCAGCTGGAGTTCTAACCAAGAGTGAACCCTGTGTACAAGAGAAGCGAAAGCAGGCATCCACACACCATTTACACACCCGTGGCAACGCTGCTTTCACAACCACAGAGGAGAAATAACCCACATGGTCCCCAGAAGATGGTAGAAAAAAATGTGCTCTATCCACATGCTGGAGTATTATTCAGCCATGAAAAGGAGTGAAGTACAGATATGTGGATGAACCTTAAAAACATCTTGCTACCTGAAAGAAGTCAGATGTGAGAGGCTACATGTTGTCTGATTCTACTTATATGAGGTGTCCAGAAGAGGACAATCCCCAGAGACAGAAGGCAGATCGGGGGCCGCTGGAAAATTTAAAGTGACTAACTGCTAATAGGTCCAGGATTTCTTTTCTTTTTTTTTCTTTTTTTTTTTGGTACTGGGGATTGAACTCAGGACCTTGCACTTGCGAGGCAGGTGCTTATGCCACTGAGCTATATCCCCAGCTAGTCCAGGATTTCTTTGGGGGAAGATTACAGTGTTTTCAAATGAGATGGTGGTGGTGGTTGTACAACCTTATCAATGGCCAAAAGTCATTGGATTATACACTTTAAATGGGTGAACTTCATGCTCTGTAAATTCTCTCTTAATGAGGCTGTTTGTTTTTTAAGACAGGGTCTCACCAGTTGGGGCTGGTCTTGAACTCACAGTAATCTTCCTGCCTCAGCGTCCTGAGTGCTGGGACTATAGGCATCTGCCACCATCCTGGGCTTTACTGAGGCTTTTTTTTTTTCCTTAAAAAAAAAAAAAAAAAAGACAACCCTGCAATTTCCAGGCCCTTCATATTTCACCTCCTTCCATCTGCATTTTGGAAAAATAGCTAGAAGCACCCCAGCTCTACAGTAGCTAAAATACCCTGGGGCCTTGCTTCCTTCTTCTCTAAAATGGGAAGGAGGTGACTTCCCTCAAGGCTCTGTGACCTTCCCTGAGACACTGTTGGGAAAGATGCTCAAAGGCAGGGACTTTGCTCAGGTTATCAGGGCATCAGAGCACACTGCTGGCCTCTGTGTAGGAGCTGACAGGTGCAGAAGAGGTGCCCAGCTCTCCACCTTCCTCCCGTCTGCCCTCAGGGGTCTGACCTGGTTAACCTCCTTCCGTATCTTTCATCGCCTCTTTCCAAATAGCCGCCTCTATTACCTTGAAGCGTGCATGGGAATTTGCTGGTGGGTGGATTTGGAGCCTGGCTGCAGCAACCAGGAATCAGAGGAGAGAGGTCTCAGACCAGGCAGGGTCCAGGAGGGTGTCCCAGGCCCGGCTCCTTTTGGGAAAGCTCAGATTCATCTTCACCGGAAGCTTCTCCGCCTTCTCACCCACTCCAGTTCAGGCTCCCTCCGTGGCTATTCCTGCAGCTGCAGTTCCTTTCCACCTGCCTTTTGCGGAGGGCGTCCCGACCCATTTCTTTCAAGAAATCCAGAAGGAGAGAGAAACTGTGTTAGCCCAGGATGAGGCAGTGAAGGGAAATCCTCAAAGTAAATTTATTTGCCTTTGGGTAGCTGTCACCCAAGCAGCATGGCAGTGTGCTCCTTCTGGCGGCCGGGTCTCTGTCTGACTGGCAGTTAGAGAAGCCGCTGGTTGGTAAGGACCAGGGGAGCAGCTGGTTGTGACATCACCAAGGAGCTCCAGGTCTATGCAGACTGCGATCCACAAGGGAAGAAAAAGGAAAGTCTCTGATGGCCCGGTGAGGTCAACACTGTCACTGCCCCTATTTTGCAGGTGAGGAAATTGAGACTCAGAAAAATGAAGGCCACAGACAGGAGATGGCAGAGTTGGAAGGAGAAACCAGGCCTCCACCCGCAAGGCTCACCACCCAGTCTCAGGGGCCATCTGGGCTTGCAGCAGGAAAGGGAGAGGACTAGAACCGTGTATCAAACAGCCTGCCACTGGGAGGAGCAAGGCAAAGGCACTGGAGTGGCCACTGCCTGCAGAAAGCACCTGCCAATTTTGCCATCAACTCTCATTTTTAAAAATATTTCTGGCCAGGGATGATAGCACAGGGCTGTAATCCTAGCACTCAGGAGGCTGAGGCAAAAGAATCACTTCAAGTTCGAGGCCAGCCTGGACTATATAGTGAGTTCAAGGCCAGCCTGACTGTATTGGGAGACCTTGTCTCAGAAAACCAAAAAATAAAATAAAAAATGAAATAAAAATATTTCCAGCCAGGCATGGTGGTACACACCTGTAATCCCAGCTGCCAGAAGGCCAAGGTGGAAGCATCACAAGTTTGAGGCTAGCCTAGGCAACACAGAAAGACTCAACATTTTAAAATAAAGCTAAGGACGTAGCCTAATTGTACAGTGTGCCTAGCATGCATAAGCCCCTGAAGTCAATACCCAGTACCACACACACACACACACATACACACACACACACACACACACACCTATGTATCATTTCTCAGGTTCCCAACGGAAAGCTCCAGGAAGACATGGACCATACCAGTCACATCTGGGCTTCCGTTCCCCGCACCCAAGCATCTAACTTACTCCAGAACAAAATCTTAGCCAGATACAAGGGTCTGATTGCCTGCTCCATGCAGCTACAGTGTCTCCCAGCAGGGTCCCCTTCTTTAGCTGTGGGGGGTGCAGCAGTGACCTCCAGAAAGAGCCCTCCCTCCTAGCCCCTAGAGTCTCTGAATGCAGCCTCATTTGAAATTAGGGTGTTGGCCGATGTAATCAGGTAAGGATGTGGACCTGAGATGATCTCGGATTAACCAGGTGGGCCCTAAAGCCAATGACAAATGTCCTTAGCAGAGACCAAACAGGAGACACAGAGGACAGAAGGCCACGTGAAGGAGACAAGGCTGGATGGTACTGCCATAAGGAAAGGGACACTGGCGACAATGGCGCCACTGGAAGCTGAACAGACAAAAAGCACCCTCCTCTGGACGCCCTGACAGGAGGCAGGGTAGCCTGGCTAATCCTTCTCTTGCAGATTCTTGCCTCCAGACTATGGGAGAATAGATGTCTGGGTGTGTATGTTACTGAGAACTGAACCCAGGGCCCTCACACTGAGCTATGTCCCCAGCCCCTTTTTGAGACAAAGTCTCAAATTGCCCAGGCTGGGCTCCAATTTACCACCCTCCTGCCCCAGCCCCCAAGAGTGTTGGGATTACAGGCATGCGCCACCACACCCAGCTAAGATATTTGTTACTTTAAGCTGCCCAGCATGTGCTTATTTGTCACAGCAGCCCATGCTCCAGACACTCATACCACCCAGGTCCCCTGGCCAAGGTGGAGGCTCATGTTGGGTGGGACAAGCACCAAGGACCCACACACCTCCTCTAGGGACCTGTTCTGTGGGGGAGGACATTTCAGACCCAGGTCTTTCTTTTGGACTCAGATCTGGGACCTAACACCAGCTGGATACACAACATGTGCACATAAGCACTTACACACACTCACATGCACACATACATACACACACAGGGACTTGGGTCTCCCTTCTCATGAATACCTCTCATGATACCCCTCACCGAGGTTTCCCGTGTTGTGTGCTTGTCACCCAGGACAGAACTGTCACGCTCCTAGCCTGTCCTATCAGTGCTGCAAGGGTAGGGACTGAAGCTCCTTTCCTGGTGACAGACAGTGACGCCTCACCTGTGTCAGGTATCTTGCTGAGCACTTCTCATGGACCACGCACAGAATGAGACAGGAGAGGAGAATGAGGTCTCGCCCCTGGGTGCTCACAAATGGCTGGTCGGTCAGCACTAACGTCATGTTCTGCCTAAGACTTTTCTGGCTGGTGCATCCAGCTCTGTCCCTGGGTTAGACAGTGATCAGAGTCCTCAGTCCAAAGACACAATGGAGAACGGGTCCTGAGAGTACAGGGATAGCCACCAGACTGGCAAGTTCAGTGGCCCTTCTCCCCAAGAGGGTCCCACGGCAGCTAGATATTTAACCTGCAGGGAAACACAACAGGCAGAGGCCACCCAGCAGGCGGTGTCCCTGCCCTGGGCCCATGTGAGCCATCAGCTGGCTTTGGCTTCTGTGGCTTCTTGAGAGTGGTACTTGTTTGACCCAATGTCACTCAATGACCCACACCTTTGACCAGCTTCCCTGGCGACTATGCCCCCTTCCACCTGAGCAGAATGGCCATTATACACCAGGGTGGCCAGCACTAAGGCAGAGACCAGGGCACAGCTTCCGCTACTGGGCCCCTCTGACCCACAGAAACCCCTCCTCATAATTCTGTCCCTCGTCCTTTTTCTGACATTTGGGCCCTTAATCCGTATGCCTCTTTTTAAAAATCAGCTTTTCTATCCCCTTTGCAGGGAAAGGAGATTGAAGAGTTGGGGACGAAGAAACAAAGAAAGATGAATGTGGCTGAGCTTTTGTTTTAATTTAAAAGTGTCTTCTATGATGTCAATCTCCCATCCATAAACAGCTCAGGGAAAGTTAGCAAAGAGAAGTGAACTGATTCATCATAAAGTCATTTTGAAAATTCTCTTTCTGAATATAAAATGAAATGTTTAATTAATTCCACATACCTCATGCAGCACATGGCCTCTGTTCTGCATGAGAACAAATACATGAATGAATAAATTGAACAGGCCCTGACATATGCCAAGCCCTGTGCTAAATGCCTCACACACATTACCTTAATTACTCTTGGCTGTGGCCTGGCAAGGGAAACCATCATACCCCATTTTACAGCTAGGGACAGAGATTCGCCCACAGCCACTAGGCCACTGGCCCATGAGTGTTGTGTGGGACATTCTGAGGCAGTTTGGGAAATACAGTTGCCAACTTCCAGCTTGCTGAAAAAGAGCTTTGTCTTACATGAATTCTTCAAGAAGTCGGTTGTGATCCATGAACATCTAAGGACCCTGGACTTGCTCTGACAGTGCCCACGACATGAAGGAGACAGCCTGCAGGGTGCTCTGCAGTGACGGCTGTCACTGCTGCCCATCCTATAAACCCGACAAAGCTTCTCTGGGCCCCAGTCTCATCTGTTTAAAACATGAAAACCGTGAGTCTGCTAGGAAACACCCCGCAGAAGATACGAAGCGGACGCTGGGCAAAGGCTTTCTTTATTCCACAGGAGCGGCCTGTGCAGCCCTTGTATAGGGACACAGGTGCTGCTCGGGGCTTGAGGTTGTTTTTAAGGGACACAGGAACACTCTGGTCCCACCCAGGTGCAACAGCAGCTTTTACTGGCCCATCCTGCCTCCCCATGATTGTGAGAAGGGCCCTCTGTCTAGGCAGGGACTCTGACAGATGGCCCAGCAGGATTCTCAAAACCCTCTGACCTACGAAGACTGAGACACTGTCCCTAGCCAGGACCACGCGCCCCAACCACTCCCTGAGCTGCGAGGCAGAATCAGGCAGCAGCTCAGGATTCGCGAACGCGCTGCACGCATTCTTTATCTTAAACTGATGGAGGGGGTGCTACAGGATTAAAAAAACAAGTTTCTAGCAACCAGATGTGATGCCATATTCCTGCAATCCCAGCACTCTGGGAGGCTGAGGCAAAAGAATTTGCAACTTTGAGCCCAGCCCAGGTAATTTAACGACTCAGTAAAAAAAAGGACTAGGGATGTAGCTCGGAGCAAAGGTCCAGGGTTCAATTCCTCGTACAAAAGAAAGAAAAAAAAAAAACCAAAACCTAGGTACGGTTTATGAACATTTTCCCATTTGCAGAGCACATTCCGGTTTACACTTCCCAATCGCAACGCACTGCGCTGAGCCACCGTCTGACTCTGAACAAGGAAAAAACGACGGAAACCACCCGAAAGCTGCTGTCCTCTCCAGCCTCCACCTCTGCTGGAGAGGCATAATGGTCACAGGTCCGGTTCTGTCGCGTTCCCTGGCTGGACAGTCACCCTATGACGCACAGCAGAGGAGATTTGGCACCCTCCTTCTTCTCTTCTTTACAAATGAACAATTTAGCACACCCGCAGCGCAGCTCCCTCGGTTACGTAAAAGAGCAGACCCCACCTCTGCGCCCGCGTCCGACGCTCCCGCGCTGCTGCGGGGCCACGTGCCGCGTTCGGGGCGGTCCGCATGCGCTTGGGCGGCGCGGGTGCGCGCCAGCTCCACGCTTTACGGTAGGCGCGGCGCGCAGGGCAACCACGTGGCGGCGGAACCGAGGCCCAGCGGGAATGCGCGGAATGCGCGGCGCGGCCTCCAGCCACGGCCCCGGGCCCCAGGGCGCGCTCCCGCCTCCTGCCCTTCCCTCTGCCGCACCCCTGCCCGCTCCCCCGAACTCGCTGGAACAAGTGGAGTCCCGTGCTAACATCCTGCGGGCCTTGGGGAGCGACCACGGCCCATCGGCCCCAGAACTTTGCAAGGGGTCTGAATGAGCATCCGGCCGCCAGTTCCTACGGCGCGGCCGATCCCCAGGGGAGGGTGCAGGACGTTGGGTGGGCGATCTCCTGCCCAAACCTGGAGAAAGTTTCCCTTCCCGTCCCCTTCTTGGCTAGAGTCCAGAGACCCAGAACTGGCAAGCTCCGAGTGGGAAAGACGCACTCCTCCAACCTTCCCCGTGCCTTGGGAAAGGAGAGACACTCTAGAGCTCCCAGGAAGCTAGGTGGAGGGGCGCGGAGATGGGGGCCTTCCCCATGGCCAGTCTTCCCTAGAAAAAGGGGGAGGGTGATGAATCCCGGAGGCGGGGACGCCCACGAGTATTCGTCCGGCAGCCCCTGCGCCCTCGCCCCGCGAGGGTCCGCTCTGCGTCATTGGGCGGTGGTCCAGCTTGACCTCCGGAGGCTATGACCCCACCCAGTTTCTTCTCTACCTTGGTTGGGGATAGTTTTCGCCTCGGTCTGGGCGCCCACTCCCCACCACTTGGTCTGAGCCGCGCCGGGCACCACAGCAAAGAAGCCGATTAATTCCTGAGAGATTTGGGTTCATACAGCTCAGAGCACGGGCGATGCATTTCGAGGGGCGGGGTGCGGCAATCAGAATCTTCGTTCACCTTAAAAGTTGAGCTTTTCCCTTCGGAATGCCAAATATGTCGCTGGAGCCTAGACTTCCTACCTGTTAGGTTTGCTGATAAACTTGCGCGCACTCCTCGCCCGCAGCCGGGGTGTGTCTCTTTACCCCGACCCTCTACTGAGGAACGTGGTAGTCTGTGTGGTGACCCTAATTAACGCAGCTGGGGCGAGGGTTGCGGCCACCCGTGTCCCCACGCGTGGCCGTCGTGCGTGGGTTTCGGGGCTGTAGTTCGCCCCGCCCCCCCCCAGCTTTGGGGCACCCAAAATCGGTGCCGCGTGGCCCGGGCAGAACTGCGGCAGCACATGGACCGCCATGCGCGCCCCAAAAGCAGACGGTGTGGGGGAAGGGAAGCCCGAGCGCCCCCGGAACTCTGGAGCCGCTTTCGGAAGCGTTTTCCAGGGCGATTTAAGGGCTTAACAATGGCAAACTCGCGAAGCCGGAGCCAAACCCTTTCAAGTCACCGCCAGGTATGCGGCAGCAGGTGACCCCACCTGGGTGCGCCCGCCTCCTGCCCGGGTCCTCTCCGGAGGTGGGATGCAGAAGGTCCACACCCGCACCGGGTTGGCTCTGGGCCCGCACGCGCTTCCTCAAAGCCCCCAGCTAGGCGGCGCGCGGTCGCGCTGCGTCCTGGGGTCTGCGCCGCGGCGCGCGGGTTCTTGAATGAGCGCGCTCCCTTCCCCGGTTGAATGAAGGTTCCCACAGCCAGGGACAGTGGCAAACACGCCTGCGGCGGAACTCGCCCTCTCCCGGCGACAATCCGCCAGACCTCGGTCACTGGGGCCGGGGCCAAGGAAAGACAGCGGGAAGGTGGATTGAAGTTACTTTGGGATTCTTTCCAACCAGTGCGACCCCTTCCCGACCGGACCACTGGCTCTTTGTCTCAAATGGTCACCAAGAAATAAGCTCACACAGAACACTAAATGAGCCCAAAATATGCAGTTCCTGCTTGGAGGTGGGTTTTTAAAAGACAGGACGAAGTTTTTAAAAATGCAATATAAAAGTTTTTAAAACTTGCGTTTTTTCTTTAAAAATATCAAAATCAAAGTGCTTCCTTTGCGACTCTTGAACCAAAGGACCTTAAGGATCTGCGACTTCTGGCCCCCTCGGGGCCTCCAGTGCTCGCCGAGCAGGCTTCCCCGGGGTGGGGGCTGGGCAGGAACGCTCCCCGCCGGGCCCCAAATTCCAACGCCTCCCCCGCGGGTTCCTGGACAGCTCTTCACGCCAGCCGGCCGGGCTTGCACTTTTGCGCCCGCCCCTGGGCCGGGAAATCAACGAAGTTCCTCGTCGAGATCTGCCGGGTCCGCCTAGTAACAGCGCCGCGCCCCCATTGGCTCATGCTAATTCCAGTTCCCTCTGTCTTTCCCGCGGTGGGGGACGCTCCCTCCGGGACCGGGAGTCCTTGTCGCCGGAGAGGGCGAACCCCTTTATGCCCCGCTGCCCCTCACCGCTGCTCCTCAGCCTGGGCTGGGCGCACGGGGGGCTCGGACCCTTGGCCCCCAGGGACGGGAGCCGCCTGTGATAACGCGGGGCCTCATAAATCATCCGGGCAACCGCCCGGTCGAGATTTTATGAATGAAAAAGTAGCCGGGCCGCCCTCGTGTGCGAGCTGATGCTCTGAGGCTCCCAGATACCCACGGCCACGTAAGCGTGGGCGCCCGAGGAGGGGGCCCACAGAGGCTACTACCTGCCTGGGCCACCACAGCGTCCCGGGCGTGAGTGGGGGGTCATTGCTCTCCAAGGACCCGGAATATTAGTACTCCATTCATTCCCTGCGGGGGAGGGGACCGAGAGGAAGGGACTTCCAAGGGGGGGGTCGCATCTTGCCACGTGCACCGTAGGGAAGAGACAGGGGGCTTTTGCATCCGTTTCCTTTGAGCCTTTCTTTTCGGGGGTGGGGGACGGTGAGTTAACACGAAAATACATCCAGAGAAAAGTAAGTGAACCGTTTTCTTAATTCGGGGCAGGTATTACTTAAAAAAGTTAAGACTGGGTAAGATGTCCTTTTCAAAAGCACCCAAGAGGTAAAATCTCTAATAAAAAATAGTATGTGTTTTATTTATGTGTCTTTAAATTTTTGAGAATACTGCGGACCCTGTCGAGTAATCATGAACGTCTATAGATTTTGTTTAAGAACATCGTATCACTATACTCATTTGTTTAACTTCAAATTCTTTTAATTTTCCCGTGCCTTCCATCCTCAAGCTCCTGAATGCAGCCCCAGGATAAATTCAAAAGGTGGAAGGCGTCCACGCCTCCAACAAAACCAATTGGGAAACCTCCGGGGGTCTCGTCCCAGGCAGAGGCAACTAATATTTCTAGCGATTTAATTTCTTTTTAATTAAAAAAATTGAGGCAATATAGAGATCACTGTTTCTCAGCCTTCCACCCAAAGCTGTTTCTCCAAATTGCCGGCACGGGGAGGGGGCTATTAGGGAATTTCCCCCAAGAACGGGCTGGTCAAGATAGGAAGACAGCCCGTAGATCCCCCGGGTGAGGGCAGGATGAAGGAAGTGGTAGCCACCATCTTGGGCTGCTGCTGGAATTTTCGGGCATTTATTTTATTTTATTTTTTCAGCGAGTGCATGCTAGCCGAAATCTCTTAAGTGCTTAAAGATAGCCCCTCGGACATTTGCAACGACCCCCCGTGCGCCAGGATGAATCCTGCACCCGAGTTGTGTGCCCTGCCCCGTGTCCCTGCATATTAAATAGTTCCTGCAATTTGCACGTGTTAATGAAAATGAAAGAAGATGCAGACGCTGAGATTCCTTGGCCCTCTCTCCGCCCGTGGGTGCCCTCGTGGCATTCTCGGAAATGTGCCCATTCTCCCGGCTCGGATATAGGGTGTCGCTGCGCCCCAGTTCCCTATCTATGCGGTCTCCCCGGCTGTGTGTGGTCTGCCGCCCTCGTAGGGCTCCTCTCCAGAGCTACCGCCACCCCACCCCCAAATCCTGGGGGACCCACCCGGGAAAGCCGGGGCCCCTGTACCCCTCTTCAGTCGCGGAGAGAAAGGCAGTCCCGGGGCGATTTGCATTTCTATAAAAACCCAACTTCGGGGACAGCTCCACCGCAGGGCTAGCTCAGAGCCTTGGGGATGGCTTTTGGGCTCTGCCCCGCGCTGCTCCCAGAGCGCAGCGCCCGCGCCCCCTCCCCCCCGCGCCCGCCGGGTCCCTCCTCCCGCTCCCATTCTCTGCCCGGCTTTGATCTCTGCTTAACAACAGTAACGTCACACGGGCTACAGGGGAGTTTTGTTGAAGTTGCAAAGTCCGGGAGCCTCCAGAGGGCTGTCGGCGCTGTAGCAGCGAGCAGCAGAGTCCGCGCGCTCCGGCGAGGGCCAGAAGAGCGCAAGGGAACGCGGACAGAGCCCGGACGCATAGCTCTTTCTAGGCGGCCCAGGCAGAGCCCCAGCTATGGAACACCAGCTCCTGTGCTGCGAGGTGGAGACCATCCGCCGCGCGTACCCGGACACCAACCTCCTCAACGACCGGGTGCTGCGGGCCATGCTGAAGGCGGAGGAGACCTGCGCGCCCTCCGTGTCCTACTTCAAGTGTGTGCAGAAGGAAATCCTGCCGTCCATGCGGAAGATCGTGGCCACCTGGATGCTAGAGGTGCGCGGCTTCGGGCGGTTCTCTATGACTTTCTGCAACTTGTTGCCCAAACCCACATTTCTTTGCCCACATTTCTTTCCCTTCTCGTCTCCCTCCAACTTTGAAGTTTGCCGAGGTGTTGCTAGGAATCCGTATTTTCAAAATAAATAGATATTCCGGGTATTTTTTTGGACGAGGAAGGTGTGGGGGTTGGGGCGTTAGAAATTCTCTTTCCTGGTGGGGGGCGGTCAGGAAGGGTTCTCTTCGAGGAAAGCCAATGCCAGGAGCACCCCAATGGGTACAAGGGTGCAGGCTGGCAGGCTGGGCGCTCTTTGTGGCTCCCCGCCTGCGCCGCTGCGCCTCCTCTCCGGCTGCCGCGGCCCGGAGCCGCCAGCACTGGGGGGAGGGGGCATAGATTTGATTTTTAAATTAATATCCATGGACACGTATGCAAGGGCCGTTTGTGCCAGTATTATGCGCCATCTTTGCTTTTATTGCAAAGCAAAAGTGTTTATTAATAATTGGGGGCAGGGTGGGGGCGGGGAGCGGCCGGCGGGTCGCTGGGATAGAAACTAGGGGCCGCGCGGCCGCCGTGAACCACCCGGAGGGGCGCGGGGACGCGGCCTGGGCTGTTTTAGGGGGACCCCCGACTCGGAAAGGGGGGCCTTTTGTTCAAGCTGCGGACTCCGGGGCGCCCCACACGGGTAGCCTGGGCCATAGAGCACGCCGGGCTGCAAGGTCGCGTGGCCCCCAAGACGCCAGCGGTTGACCCCCGTCTGCGCGGGTCTCCGCTCAGGGTCCTCTTCTGGAGCGAGCCAGGGGCCCGGACCACATTTCCAGGCCTTTGGTGGGCGTTTCGGGGTCTCTAAAGTATTTTTAAATAATTTCTGAAAGTGCAGCGTGGTGCCCTTGCGAGAGGGAAACGGCGCCCGCGCCAAGGGGAAGGGGGCCCCGGAGTTTGAATTCCTGGGGCTCTCCCCATAGCCCGCAACCAACTGTCGACCCCCGACATGGATCAAGGGCCGCCCAAGGGTCGTTTTCAGGTGGTTTTTAGACACCCAGTTATTTTTTAAATATTTTTAAATATTTTTTGAAAAGATGACGTCTGGGGAAATGCGGTGCGGCGGCCTGGGACGCCACCTTTGTGTCTCGAAGGGCGGCGAGCGCGGCGCCCAACCCCCGGCGTCCCCGCTGCGCGGTGGGTGTCCCCCCCCCCCACGGCAGTGGCCCCCAGGTCCCGCGCAAGCTGGGGTCCTCGCGCCTGCGGTGCCCCGCGTGCCCACCCCCGTCCGCCGTGCCCGCCTTGCAGACTTTCCCTTTCAGTTTCGGGGTGTGTGGGCTCCGGGGACTCGCGGGCAGGGTGCACATCCTCAGAAGTGCCTGTACCCCCCACCCCGCCCCAACCCCTCCGCGCCCTTGAGGACTGGCCACCCTGTGCGTGGAAGGGCTTCGGCGGCGGCGGTCACAGCCCGGTTGCCCGCAGGTTTGCGAGGAGCAGAAGTGCGAGGAGGAGGTCTTCCCGCTGGCCATGAACTACCTGGACCGCTTCCTATCGTTGGAACCCCTGAAGAAGAGCCGCCTGCAGCTGCTGGGGGCCACCTGCATGTTCGTGGCCTCCAAGATGAAGGAGACCATCCCGCTGACGGCCGAGAAGTTGTGCATCTACACTGACAACTCCATCCGGCCCGAGGAGCTGCTGGTAACCGCGGACCACCGCGCGCGGACGTTTCGTTAGCAGTGGGACCCCGACTCGGGGGAGGTGTAGATGGCTGGAGGATGGGCCCACCACGGACAGATCCGCCCCAGAGTGGGGCGCCCACACTACTCGGCCCCTGGGGCAGCAGTAGAACCCCAGGCGACCCCCACTTCCACTTCCCCTTCCCCGAACCCTGTCCTCGGATTCCACTCCCACCACATTTGCTTTCCACTGGGGTCAAACATGGATGACGCGCGCCCTCTTGCGGTGTGCAGGCCACATCGCTGGTCACTGAGGCCCTCAGTACCGGCGGTGGGAGGTCTTTTTGTCTCTCAGTGGGGTCGGCTTAGTAACGAGAATGGAGCCTTTTTACACGCACCTTTTCTATTTTGATCTGGGCTCATGT